TTGCATCTATTTTCCCTATCAATAACATTGGAGCGATTGGAGAGGATAATGGTGTGGAGATGTATATGAATCGAACTAGGACATTTAATTATTTGCCACTTTTAAGATGTGCCAATTAATGATTTGCCACTCGCTGTGTATGATGTGTGGGCCCTCATGTATCTATCTCATGTGTCTATGATATGTTGGTCAAGTGGCAAATCCTATATAACCACTCGTAAGAGTGGAAAATATTTAATTATTTTGAATCCACCGAGCATAATTCCACGAACAAGAGTAAAATTCCAATTTTCATTTGCTTGGTAAATCAACTAATATGCAAGAGGATAAATTGGACAAAGTGGCTGAACTAAAAGAAGGATAGGAGGATAAGAAAAGGGAGAGGGAGTGGACGTGGTGTGGGTGGAGGGTGCGATGCAGTGCAGTACAAAGGGCGATGTGATGTGGTGTGCATGGTTGATCACCCGATTGAGATCCAATGGCTAGGATAAAATGAGGTGACGTGGAAGCACGAGAAAGTAGAAAGTTGCTATTAACTACACTAAGTGCGAATGACTTGTATACCCGCATATCATCTCCCATCAACTTAATTTTTCTCCATGCGTTTTATAGGTTGTATTACAAATCCATCAAACTTATGCATGCTGATCTATAACAAAAAGACAAAATTTGCTACAGGACATTGAAAAACCATGGCCTTTGCTGAGGGATATCGTAAGAACATGAATTTGCTTAGGGACACTCAAAAAATGTGGTAATTTATTGGTAGACAACATACACATTATTTTATGACTTTTTGCTATTTTGGAGGGAGAATTTTCACAACATGGGAGATTTGCCCCTAGGACCAATTAGTACAAAGAGTTTTGTTTTCTTTACAAATCAAGTCCCTGGTGCTTTGATGGAGTGGAGCCCGTGTGTCATTGTCTCGAGGAGGGAGAGAGCAGTAGCTGAGGCAGAGCCTTGCCGGCTGGCACTCCTTCACGGCGACGCTGACAGTGAATGGCAGCTCCTTGGACGATGCGGCCAAATAGAGAAAGATGTGCAGGCTTCTTGCGAACCCGACGGTGGTCGTCTTTTAGCCGGAGGTGGCCAGAATTGACGACGGTGCTAGTCCGGTCGAGCCAAGGAGCTTATAGTTCGATGCTACCAAGATGTTTGTAGAGACGTAGAGACGCTACATTCATGAGGAATTGAGAGACGGAATCGAAGATGGCAGCGGTTGGCCAGAGTTTGGGAAGACGATGACGATCTCATGATTCACGACATCTCATGTCAATTGCTTGGGTCGGAGGGCTCCTAGGGTCTCGGCGATGACGATGGCGCGATGGATGGCCCGACCATGCGCCATGGTGCCCAGAATGTGGAGATGGTCTTGACTGTGACACAGAGAGCTCGCTCCGGAGTCACGTCGGCATGACGGCTTTCTTGTCGATCCGCTGCATGACAGAGGGTGAGGTCAAAAGTTAAAACATTCGACATGATGAGGTGAATAAGGAACAGGGAAGAGATGATGGAGAGCACGGCTTGACGACTAGCGGCAACACCTCCTTCTGGGCGGCCGACTTGGGAAGAAGAAATACGAGGGTAAAATAGACAATTTACGTGGTTTCTCCCTCCTCACATAAGTAAATATTATATTTTAATGCTTATTGTGTCCTTTAGCAAATTACCGTGTTTTATGAGTATTCTCGGACAAATTCACGTTCTTACGATGTCCCTCAGCAAATATCACATTTTTGGAGTGTTCTGTCGTAAATTTTTCCTAACTAAAATATATCCGCTTTCATCTCCAACGTTTTTGTATAAGTATTTTTACTGCATGTATTTTTGTGAGGGTTATATTAATAACACAGTATGAACTGTTCACTCTGAAGTGGGATTATCACCTACTGGTGGAGTAATGAAGTTTCATGTGTTGTAGAACTCTTTATTACTATGTCTTCTTATTAGTATGCTGTAAAACTTTTAGAGCAATTGGTTTGGACATTGGTTGGACTGGCGGTGTGCGGCGGCAATGGGCAGGTAGCAAGGCAGTGGGGGCACCACCGGAGCTGTGAGGATGGAGGCCGACAATGGGCAGGGTTGGCAGCAACCTGAGCGAGGGAGGCCATATGGTAACTGTGCGGTCGGTGACAACAATTCCGACAGCATACGGGAATGACACTACCGCTGGATTATGGAGAAAGAGACGGAGGATGGCAGGGATGAGGAAAAGGCTGAGGATTATATGGTTTTGTGGGCCTCACCTGCGCCGTTGACTCCTTTTGGCAAGCCGACAAGCCAAGAGTAGCATCGTCGTGCAGGGAGGAGTCAGCAGCAACCCATCATACATGTGTGCATAGGTGAAACGGGGTTGAGGAGGGAAGAAGTGATAAGGGGAGAGAGAAAGAGTCCACCCAATTCTTGCAATCCTAAATGGTCAAAAAAAATTGATTTTTTTTTGGGGGGGGGGGGCAACTGAGAATTAGACACTCCCAAAAATTAATTAGGAAAACTGAGCCACCCCTGTAGGACGACCCAGCCAAACTTGCCGCTCTCCATGATCACCGTTCCTTTGAGATGCATGGGGCCACCTTAGGAAGGGGATGTTTAGGTCATTTAATTGTCAGAGCATGATGATTATGTGTCGATGTCCTCCTATTCTGCATTTAACCACTCAAGATCCAGAGTACTGTTGCCAGACTTAACACATCTCGGGCGCGATTTGATCCATATTCCTTAATTTATTGGGTCCTTGATTATCACGATCACTTATGGTCGATCATGAGACGTGGGTGATTGTGCAGCACAAATAATTATTTTAAGGGATTGTATAGATTATATTAATTTTGGACTTGTTCGGCGGGAAGGAGGCGGTGGTGATGTATATCAGCGGTTGTGATACATCATGCATGTGTGCGTGCTTGAAACAGGGATAAGAAGTGTAGAAGAGATAGGGCGAGATAGAAATAGTCTACACGAACCTCGATGCAATTCTAGGCGTTTAAAAAGTGACAGTCTTTTAGGCAAAACTTAGACAATCTAAAAAGTTAATTAGGAAAACAGTTACTTTTTAAACGACTCTCCACAATCGACATTCCTTTGAGATGCACGAGGCCCACTATCGTAGGTTGAGGAAGTTTAGGCCATTTAATTGTCAGGGCATGATTATGTGTTGATATCTTCCTATTCTGCATTTAATCACTGAAGATCCAAAACATTATATTACCAGACTTAAGATTTCTTGGGCGCGATTTGATCAATATTATTTATTAGGTCCTTGATTCTCACGAGTCACGACCACTTACGAAGTTATGATCGATCAAGAGATGATTGTGCAGGGAAGATTAATATTTGAGTGAGTCAATTTTGGACTACATGTCTACATTAATAGCTTGACGATCAAGAACGAAATAAGAAAAATATGCTCTATGATTTGATCGATCGATCTCGAATTATACGTTATGATATGTAAACACCAGAGAAAATTGGGATCGGGATATGCAATCTAGTACTAGATATTATTTAATTACATACTCTAGTATGAAAACTATCGTGCAAATCGGGATACTCTTGAGCTGGCCGGAATATTTTTCCTGGAATGCAAAAATAATTACGAATTACAGATCAATGCCGTGCGCCCGTGCAGATGCAATGGATATATATATCGGCCACGTTGCTGCTTCTTCTAATATAATAAGGCAATCTCGTTGCCTACTTTGCACGATGTGAGCTAATCACACGAAGTGGACAACAAGTTCGTCATGTGATTTGTTGTCTTTCTCCTTTGTGCTTTGTGCATCGAATGGCATCCCACAATTATCCAAAAAAATTTACAAAAAGCATTTCACTGAGCTTTTGTACGTACGTTATTTATACTACCTCCGTTTTTATGTAATAAATACATAAGCCTGTTAACATTTCGATATTACATTTGTCTTCCTAAATAAAACTAACATTTATATTTGGTGTTGAACTTTTTTAATAATTAAATGTACTTGGACCATTATATACTTTTGCACATTTCCATTAAAGTTTTTAATAAGATAAATGATCAAATATCACGTTAAAAATTAACAGCATCAAATATTTAAAAACCGAGAGAGTAGTTTGGAACACATGTTTAAGTTACAGTCATTTAAACTTGAAATATTGGCTATTATTATTGAACCTAGGAACAAGATAGTAGTTCCAAAATTTAAGGTGTGATATCATATTTTGTATTATCCATTTTACAATATATTGTTGATACTATCTTTTTATGGACCGCCACTTCGAAAAAGCAAATAATACTTATCTCAGTCTCCAGAAAGTTACCAGGACCAAATAAATAAATTTTCAAATAAGTAATCTTATTTTTCAGTAAAGCAAAGCAATAATGAACTTATGATTTTAAGGCTTGCTATTCACTCTATAATTATATATTGCCGATAAAATTCATCACAACAAAACAAAATAGTGTCAGGAGGAGTAGATTTGTTGAGAAAAAAAAGACCGAGAATAACGTATTTGGCCCAATTAAGTATATACATATGTAATGCGTAATATACCTACATGTGTTGAATTATTTTCGGACAACTTTTGAGTATTCACTCCAATACCCAAGAGCCTCCCTGTGTCCCACCCTGAAGCAAACAAACCAGGAAGAACAATAACAACAGCATGGGTAGATATGTTGGCATCCCTGTAAACTCTATAACTCAAACTTGAAATCGGCAGCTCTAAATTATTTAATTAGTAACTGGACTAAAATATATATTTCTCGAAAAACGAAGTGGACAAATTAGAACTTCCATAAATTTAGTTTTCTCATTAAAATAAGATTTTGTTCAGATTTAAGCATGATATTCTGCTGGTAAGTTATATGATATTATATGGAGCATGTGATGATTTTTTTAAATATTCTTTTAAGTCATTTACTAATGCAAACATAGTTGGGGGTTAACTTGGACCAGGTTGTCGAAAAACTAGTATAAAGCCACACAGCCACAAGCTAGAATATCCATCAATAAACACATCATACTGCCATCTCCCTCAACTAGTTGCAAAAGCACACGTTCTTCCAATATTCCATCAGCCATGCCTGGAGCAGCTGCTGCCGCTGTTGTTGACAGCCGCCTGTGCACACAGCACGCGGAAGGCCCTGCTGCGGTCCTCGCCATCGGCACTGCAAACCCGGCAAATATCGTCTATCAAGATGGGTTTGCCGACTACTACTTTGGTCTAACCAAGAGCGAGCATCTTATTGAGCTGAAGGACAAAATGAAGAGGATATGTAAGTAGAACAATCCTTTCATTTCGATCGTTGCATTGATCATCATTATCGTTAGTTGTTTTTCATAAACTCTAATGAGAATAAATTATGCAAGCGCTTAAATTTTTAGGACACTCCTGCCATAATTCATTATAAACCATACAAATATTTATACTATACTACGTAGAAAGAAGAGTGAAATGATGTTGGAGTTCAGCCAAATTTTCTTTATTTCGCGTGTGGGATGCAATGTGGATGCATGGGGTGTGGTTGCATCCCAAAATTTTTGAAAAAAAATCTACTATATACAGTATATACTTGGTACATATACGCAGTATGCTCAATACGAGGCCCACTTAAGGTCATCCAGGACTATATGCTCCATTTGAATTTCTACATTATTTATGTCATTGTATTTGTACTCGCTATATTTAAGTGTTTTGCTAGTATATTTTTTTCACTTTATCTCTTATCTTGAATCATAACAGTAAAGTTTTGCATCTCCATCTCTGAAATCCTGGATCCACCACTAATACCTCGTTAAATATGATAGTTTGTCATATAATGTCCCTCCTGCTCATCAGGCTACCATCTCGCACCCATGCCACTGTACTCGTATAGATTTAAAGACTACGCTTTTAACAAAAATACAAGAGATCTACAGAGTAGTCATAGCAATAAATCCGTGGATCTTAATAAATTTGTACTGAAAAATAGCACTTACTTGTCTATATGTTGGCACCGGGAATTGAGTCTTAGTGGATAGAGTTATGCACCCACAAGTACATCATTAGACCATGTTTGAACGAAACATATGTGCTAATCCAATCTTTCAGAACATTAAACTCATGATTATCTTCCTAAAAATAGGACATATATAAACCATTTTTGTTTTATTACGGAAAATGCTTGCATAATATCATATATTCTTGTTTTGTAAATATTCGGCATCTTAATTGAAATGTCTCATGTTATTCTTATAATCTCTTAGTGCTATGTACTAATTGTAAGAGATGTGGGTGCATCCTTTTCCATTTCAGGTCACAGATCGGGAATAGAGAAACGCTACATCCACCTTGATGACAAGCTCATCTGTGAGCACCCGGAGATCATCGACAAACACATGCCCTCCCTTGAAACTCGTGTAGACATCGTCTCTACTGAGGTCCCGAAGCTCGCCGAGTCAGCCACACGGAAGGCCATCGCCGAGTGGGGCCGTCCGGCCATTGACATTACGCACCTCATCTTCAGCACCTACTCCGGGTGCAGTGCTCCTAGCGCTGACCTCAAGCTGGCATCACTACTCGGCCTCAACCCTTCTGTTTCTCGCACCATCCTTAGCCTCCACGGTTGCTCTGGAGGCGGTAGGGCACTTCAACTTGCCAAGGAGCTCACCGAGAACAACCGTGATGCACGCGTTCTCGTAGCCTGTGCCGAGCTGACGCTAATATGCTTCTCAAACCCAGATGAAAGCAAAATTGTCGGCCATGGACTGTTTGGGGATGGTGCCGGAGCAATCATTGTCGGCGCTGGCCCACTGGTCGATGAAGAGCGCCCACTATTCGAGATGGTCCTCGCCTCGCAAACAACGATACCAAGTACTGAGCATGCACTTGGCATGCAGACCACCGCCAGTGGCATAGATTTCCACCTCTCTATCCAGGTGCCAACACTGATCAAGGACAACATCCGGCAGTGCTTGCTTGACACATTCCGATCGGTTGGAAACATGGATCCTAATTGGAATGACCTCTTCTGGGCAGTGCACCCTGGTGGCCGTGCGATCCTTGACAACATAGAAGGCGAGCTTCAGCTGCAACCAGCAAAGCTTGCGGCAAGCCGCCATGTGTTGAACGAGTATGGGAATATGAGCGGCACGACGATCGCGTTTGTTCTTGATGACTTGCGTCGCCGTCGGGAGAAGGAAGGAGATCAGCATCAACAACTTGAGTGGGGAGTAATGCTAGCCTTTGGACCAGGTATCACAATAGAGGCAATGGTGCTGCGTAACCCACTCTCATGAAGTCTTAAGGAAAATTAATTGCCACTATCTTATGCTTGTCTGGTATCTTATTACGGTATATGTTAATTAATCAATGCATGACACTAAATCAATTCTGCATGCTTAAGTGGAATTATGACCTACCGGTGATGTATTGATGTTGTGGAGTTCCTATCTAATGTTTATTGCTGTTTTTTCTGTATTTGTAACAAAATTTGTAATACCCTGTGTATAATTGAAAAAGCATATTGCTTATATGAGTTGCTTCAATCCGAGTTTGGATCAATTGAGATGTATCTTTCAAGAAAACACTTGAATAAGATCAAGTCAGTATTTTGCAAGTGAAAAAATGTTCCAAAACAAGATAAAAAGATGCAATCAATTTCAACTTAATCTTTAGTAATTAAGATTGTTTTTCTTCTCAAATATACATGAGATGTTGTGTATCATTGCATTAATGGAAGAACGGAGGCGTAAGATGCAAATACAAATAATCAGAAAAGACAAAAAGTGAGAAAACAAAACACGAGCAAAAGAAGAACAAAGTGCCTAACCGAGGCTCTCCCAACAACCTGAATCATGGGCCTTCTTAACCGGGATCTATAATCAACGAAATTCCCCTAGGCTCAATAGGTGAGCCTCGTCACTCGCTAGAACTAGTCGAGAAGATGATTGGAGCAGCCTCGTTGAAAACACAGGCGTTTCGATGCTTCCAAATAGAACATGCCCTAAGAATGATCATATTATTTATACCCTTCCTTATAGCCCGTTTTACCAAATTCTTGTGTCTTAGCTAGGGAGATCGATCTGCTTTCAGAACCGGCGGCGCGTTCATCTTCTCGTCGTTCGATCTGATCAGCGAGAACAATTCTGACACCGGTGTGTTCTTCGATAGATCCATCTGATCGGCGGCAGCATACGCGCTTCATCCCACGGCGAGTTCTTTGATGAATCTGGTTGGTGGCGGCAGGCGTGCGTCCTCCTGTCGTCTCATCGAGTTAATCGGCTCGACGTGATTGAGTTTTCGGCGCAGCAATCCGAAGCGGAGTTCTTTTTTGCTACCACGCATCCACCGAAAAAGCAGCAGCGCATAGCTGCACGGCTCTGGAGGAGGAAGAAAAATCAATTGAAGATACTGCTCGCTTCGTGTTTATGTGAAGTTCCAAATTCCTGTTGGATTTTTGTACGTCCACAAAGACTTTATATCAGGGAATTTCTTTTCTTTTGGAATCTATTATATATATTTTTTGATCTGGAATTGTTTCTCCAACATGTCATGTATCAAATTTGACATTGAGAAGTTTGATGGCAAGATTAGTTTTTGCATATGGCAGGTTCAAATGAAAGTTGTTCCTACACAAGTTGATGTTCGGAAGCGAATATGATTGATCAAGGGGAAGATAGGCTGTGTTATCTGTGTGAATGGTACCGTATACAGGTTCTTAAGAAGGAATCACAAATACCGTTCCAAAGCAGCATATTTCGACAACACTGAATAGCTTGATGATCCACCAGGACCATGCAAGGGTGATAGAGTGTTCCAAATGACGAAAAATCTCAAAGTTTTTTTTTGAGAAGGCAAAAAAGAAGGAAACCAAGCGGAAGCGAAATGCGGAAGGACCAAGCGTTCTATTCAATAGATATATAGATACATCATTTTATCGGTGTCATGCACCTAGAGAAAAATGTGTTCTATAGAACCATTGGGACTTTAGTAGCCATACCAAGCAAGACAAATGATGGACTGAAGTCACATAATGTAACAGCCCGTCCTCCAGAACCGCGTAGCCTAGACCATCCAATGGGCGGGCCCACTTACACATACCACTCCCGTACACGTTTATCCTCGCTTTGTATAAAAGTGTTAACCCTGGAGTGATATGGTTGGAGGGACAAGCCCACTCTTGCTAAACTAGCAAGATGGTACTAAATATACGCACACAGGTCTTATTGGCCACACATGCCATGTCCTAATTATACCAGGATGTCACACACCCTCCTCAAAGGACCCGACATCCCCGTTGGCCCAATTTACCCATATAGTCACACACAGGCATATAGGTAAATGTCTAGGAACACACCCCCTCTTAATGCTTAGTGCAGTCCGCCTTACATAGAGCCCACATGTGCCATATACCCGCACACTGACCCATACAAGCAACCGCGAGGGTCGGAACTGATACCATTTTGTAATGGCCCGCCCTCCAGAATCGTGTAGCCCAGCTCGTCCAACGGGCGGTCCCACTTACAGATACCACTCCACTTACACTTTCGTCATTGCTTCGTGTAATAGGGTTAACCAGGGAGTGATATGGTTGAAGGGACAAGCAAAACTAGCAAGGTGGTACTAAACATGCTCACACAGCTATCATGTACTCCTTCCAAAAATCTGAGACCTATTTCATTCTTTGGTTTTTCTCAAAATCTAAGTCCTATTTGTAGTCACTATGTACTAAATTGAATTGTTGATCAGAAACCAATAAGTCATTCTAATAATTATTGGTTGCATGCTCATTGGTTTTGCCATATGGTGAGTGAGTTAATTGCTTCTTGGTATTGATGCAAAAAGAAATAGGTCTCATATTTTTGGAAGGAGGGAGTACCACATAGGCCATATCTTAATTGGGCCAGGTTGTCACATGTAAGGACCTTGTGAATACGCAGATAACAGAAGAGCTTCACCTGCGGATGAAGGTAATGGAAGAGTTGTAACATCCCGCCTCTCCTAGGCCAGGCCTACTTACATCTGGTAGCTTATCTTGGACATAGACTACCCTCACAGACCAACACAAGTCTTTTCTGCATACTTTGTCCTCACTCGTGTGCACCCGGGAAGAATTTTCCGGTCGGTCACCCATCCCAAAATTGCTCTACGCCAAGCACGCTTAACCTCTGAGTTATTTGGAGATCGGTTAAGGAAAATAAGTTGCAACCTGATGGTATGAGTATTCTATTAATCCTATTAAGCCCTAGGCCAGGATGTCACAAGAGTGCACCTTTCGCTGACTTATTACACCTTGACAAATTATGAGAAAATGGCATTGTACAAATCCCTACACGAGGTGAGAGTCCCTACCGGTTTCTCCTCAAACATAAAGCGGCTAGTGTCGATGAAGGATTTATAGCTTTTGGGCTACATTTCTCATGACTGTCATGTAATGCTCATAATATTCATTGCTATTGCAATCAAAGTAATCAAACTAGTACACGTAAAGATGGTTGTCACAAAACTGTGTTATTTCTTCAATGCAATCTCACATAAAGTAATTGACCTTGAAGAGTTAGGTCATCTCCGTGTTTTCGCTATAGAGACCTTGTGCAAGCTTGAGATGTGTTTCCCTCTGTCATTTTTCAATATGATGCAACACCTCATGGTTCATATCGTGCCTCAGATACTTGTGCTTGGGCCCTTGTACCTTCATCAGATGTGGACATTCGAACAGTATATGTCCAATCTAAAAAGGCTATGTACGGAACCGTGCCCACCCAGAGGGTTCGATGATAGAGGGATACACTACCAAGAAAGTCATTGAGTGTTGCATTGGTTACTTGCAAGATGGGAAAGCAATTGGTTTACTAGTACCTCGACATAAAGGTAGGTTATCTGGAAGAGGGACAAAAAGGAAAAAAGAATCCTCGACAATGACTACAAAGCAGTGAAAGATGCTCATTTCATTGTCCTGTAACAGCTTGTGATAGTGGAGCTGTACATAGAGCAGCACCTAAAGGAATTACAAGCAAGAAATGTCAGGCGCTCTGAAGCATGGATCATGAAATGGCACAAATCTGACTTTACCGAATGGTTAAAGGACCTCGGCCGACCATATGGTGATAGCACGAAGGAAAAAACTATGAAAAGTTTGGCTGACGGGCATTCAAGAGTGTACACCTCATGGTGAGCGTATATCTGAATGGGTACACATTTTATACCAAAGCAAGAGACAAAAGGAGTGCATCTCAAAATAATGGCGTTCAAGTATAGGAAATCGACACAACAGGTCAAAAGAGCACATACTATGAATTCATAGAAGAAATTTGGGAACGGGACTACGAACCCAATATGCAGATTCCACCGTTTCGGTGTCAATGAGTGAAACACCCAGCTGGCGTGTTTGTGGACAAATTTAGACGGACAATTGCTGACCTTGACAACGTAAGCCACAAGAATAACCCATTGGTACTTGCCGATCGAGCCACCCAAGTTTTTTACGTGACTAACCCCATCTCAGTTGAAGAAACACATAGTTATTTCCGGAAAACAAAGGATTTTGGGAGTTGGTGATGTTGAAGATGTTGAGGCATACAATCAATACGAGAACATGACACTATTCATGGATTTTGGAAACTACATTAAGCTTGTAGAAGAAACAATTAGTGAATCGCCGAAGCCGTACATGAGGAATAAAGGAGTAAGGAAGAATGTGAACGGCTAATAAATGTAGTCGCTGTTCAATATAAATATGAATCAATGAATATTTACATATGAATGTGTGACATGATGGACGATGAATTTTTTATGGATGGTGAATTTTATATTATTTGTTCTCATGGTTTTTGGTGTTTAAAAAAAGAGAAAAGAACTAAAATTTATAAAATAAGAAAATAATGATATATTAGTTACTGATGGTGACATCATGGAGACTCTGATAGAAAAACCTGTGGTTTACGTTTTGGGGTGAGGGTTGGGCTGGGTGGGGGCACTACTAGAGCCACAGGGATGGAGGCTGGCAGTCGGCATGGTTGGTAGTAGGGGCGAGGGAGGCTGTGTAGTTAGGAGGAGGCGATTGGCGGTGGTGATTTTGAAAGCTATGGCAGTGCGCCACTGCTGTTCAATCAAGAAGGAAGAGAGGGAGGGACGTGGGATTGGGGAACGGGAAGGAGGCTTGTCTGGTGGGCCTCGCTGGCACCGTTGACCCCTTCCGGCCATCCGGCGAGCCAGGGGTGGTACGTTCGGCGGGAAGGTGGCGGCGATGATGTATATCAGCGGTAATCCATCCTGCATGTGTGCGTGCTTGAAATAGGGACAAGAAGAGCAAAAGAGATAGGGTGAGATAGAAATACTCTACACAAATGTCGATACAATTCTAGGCGTTTAAAAAGTGACTGTCTTTTAGGCAAAAATCAATTAGGAAAACTGTTATTTTTTAAATGACTCTCCACGATCGCCATTCCTTCGAGATGCACGAGGCCCACTACCTTAGGAAGAGGAAGTTTATATCATTTAATTGTCAGGGCATGATTATGTGTCAATATCTTAGTATTCTGCATTTAATCAATAAAGGTCTAGAACATTATATTAGCAGACTTACCACTTCTTGGGCGCGATTTGATCAAATATTATTTATTGGGAACTTGATTCGACCACTTATGAAGTTATGATCGGTCATGAGATGCTGTGTGGATTGTGCAGAGAAGATTAATATTTGAGTGACTGAATTTTGGACTACATGTCTACATTAATAGCTTGACGATCAAGAACGAAATAAGAAAAATATGCTCTATGATTTGATCGATCGACCTCGAGTTATACGTTATGATATGCAAACTCCAGAGAAAATTGGAATCAGGATATGCAATCTAGTATTAGATATTATTTAATTACATACTCTAGTATACAAACTATCGTGCAAATCGGGATACTCTTGAGCTGGCCGGAATATTTTTCCTGTAATGCAAAAATAATTACGAATTACAGATCAAAAATATATCCGCCACGTTGCTGCTTCTTCTAATATAATAAGGCAATCTCGTTGCCTACTTTGCACGATGTGAGCTAATCACACGAAGTGAAGTTCGTCATGTCATTTTTGTTGTCTTTGTCCTAATTTGTGCATCGAATGACTGATCTCACAATTATCCAAAAATATTTACAAGAAACATTTCACAGAGCTATGTACGTAATTTATACTACCTATGTTTTTAAATACATAAGCCTGTTGACATTTCCACATTACATTCGTCTTCCTAAATAAAACTAACATTTATATTGGTTGTGATTTTTTTAATAATTAAATGTATTTGGACCATGATATACTTTTGCACATTTCCATTAAAATTTTTAATAATATAAATGATCAAATATCACCTTAAAAATCAACATCATCAAATATTTTAAAACCGAGAGAGTAGTTTGGAACGCACGTTTAAATTACAGTTCATTTAAACCTGAAATGTTGGCAGTTATTATTGAACCTTGCAATAAAATAGTAGTTGCAAAACTTAAGACGTGATTATCCATTTTACAGTACATTGCTGATACA